TCAGTAAACGACCTTTTCTCTGCAAGTAAGAAAAACAGAACAAAAAATCATGCATACACCCACCCAGAGCTCTTGCCACCATTAGCGCAACATTACCCTGACGTTTTCATAGAACAAAAAACACCGCTCTGATAAACTCATCTCAAATAGATTTTTTACTCTTTTCGATTGATAATTTCATTTTGGTTATCCCCATTCTAATAGCGCATTTGTAATGAACTGGAGTACTCAAAAGTATTTCACAGTCGAATTTAGTACCAATGATCGATATTCGCACAACTTAGCGTAATTGAACAATGGATTCTGGTCCTTGTTTTACGTCCCAGTAGCACCGAACCATAAGTAAAACCTTTTCTGAGTGAACATATAACCCATTTCCCATTGCAAAACGTCATAAAGTTCCAAAAAAAATAGTGTACTATTCATTTCAATACAAGTCTACATGTGGCTAAATAAAGGGCTGATGCAAAGCATAAAGAATACGGTAACTTCCTTCATATTCGAGCAGCTATACTCTCGCCAAAACTCACACGTACAAAATTGTTTACTGCAGAAGGCACACCTCCCTTCTCTTCGATTGCAGAACGTCCATCTTGCTTACAAAGTTTGAACTTCATCAAAAATATTTCACCTGTTTTTTTCCAAACAATTAACATTCTCTCGTTTGAATTTAATGAGCACCAAAAACTAAAAACTCTTTTAAAAAAGGCTGGAATACCAATAAATTTTTCGAAACAACTCCACATTTTAGAGCACAAAGCAATTCGTCAAACTCAACAGGGCTGAAACCAAAAACTTCACTTTTCTCAATCGAGTACCGGACTTACACGATGCTTTCCCAATTCCAACAGCAGGCCTGTCGTTAAAAAAAATAAATGTCCATAAACAGCAAATAAAACCCGTATTTCCCACCGCTGCGGAACTCACGACAATGCTGCAGCACATCAAAATGGTTAATTAACTTGTACTCTCTTGCGCCCTGCAGCAAACTGTTATAATGCAAGTTCTATAAGCCGATTAAGTACTCCAAACAGTGAATCTTCATTAAGTAGATATTTTTTATTTTATCTGAAAATCTTTTGCAACGAAAGATTCTTAATCAATAATTCTCTACTGTGGGAAAAATTTTTGCCATCCAATAGCTACTGCTCATCAAAAACTACAGGAAGACATCTAAATTTACCTTTTAATTTTCAATGTAATCTTGCGGAATAAGATTTATAATTGAATGCAACAACCTCCCTAGAACCAGAAAAAATGCGTTTAACTACGAAAAATCCATGCAAAACTCCTCCTCTCTCACCTCCCTTCATGAAGTTTCAAAATGAAAAATCCTTTGTAGCAAAGAAAATGCCAGGGATAAATAATGTCACAAAACTTTTACATTCATTTCATAAAGGTGGATCTATCAACTGCTTGAGGTTGAAACGTAAATGATGTCAATCCAAATTTTAAACGTAACAAAAAAATTGTGACTAATCTGTAGCTGCTAACCGTGACCAGAAACAACCTGACCATATTTCATCAAACCAAATGAAATAAAGTAATTAAAAAAGGATTTTCAAACGTCACTCAAATATTTTAAAAATATCAACGACTGAATCCAATTAATTGTGCAAAAAATAAACCCAACAAACACCAACAACAGTCATATTACAAACTAATCATCCAGAAGACGTCAGTATTTCAAGCTTGCCGTCGAAAAATTAAAAACACTTGTATGGAACTTGTATGGAATCTTGAAAGAATTAGTCCTAAGTTGAAATGTGCTAAAAAGATTGAACTTACGGAAACTGGAACGAAAACAGAAAGGCTATATCCATATGCACAAAATATTTCAAGGTAAGAATACTGCGTTTCGGATTTTCGATACCAAAATAATGAGTAGAGAGCAAACGGTATCAAGATAACGTAACATGCAATTAACGTTGACGCTCCAGTTACTGGAACACAATAAATACTAGTTTAATAACCTAATTCTAGGAGAGTGTGATCGTTTCTGTACTGACTGCAGAACTCACTAAGATCACCGATAGACATTAAAACGTTCAAAGAACAAAGTTCTAACCGCACCACTAGACGATGCCTTCGCCAGCGTCAGAAAATTATCCCTAGAAACTCACTCGATATCCGTTGAATGCTCAGAAGTATCTTACCTCACATCTTAAACAATATTCAAAAAAGCCCCGTCCAGATAACAACAAAATTATGGTTTTTCAGCTACGCTAATAAGAGATATTACAAACAGGGAAGATATTACCCCTTTGGCTTCCTTTATAAAGATACAAAGGAATTTGGATAAATACAGGATGGAATGAGAAAATTCCATGCTGTCATTCTCAAGAGTGAAATGTTTCACTTTCCCTTAAAATCCATGCAGAACAGATCCGAGACACTTCATTAACAAACAAGTACACCTAATCTCCTTAGGAATGAATAAAAGTTTAGAAATAACATACCTAGACGAAAATCACTGTTGTAACTTTCATTCAACACATCGCCAGAAGTTTCGATATACTTTGCCAGATTACCACAAATAGCAGTCATAAAAACGAGTGTTATACATACCCAAAAAGGACCTAAAAAACATCATTAAAAGAAGTACAAAAAAATAATAGCAGTGGTAACAGCAATAACAAAAATATTGATGAGAGTGACAACAATAATAATAATAAAAACTAGTAACTAGTAGCTAATAACTAATGACTAACGACTGACAACTAATAACTAGCAACTGATTACTGACGACTAAGAAGTAATAACGAATAAGTAATAACTGACAGCTAATGGTTAATGACTAATAACCAATGACTAATAATTGACAACTGATAACTGATAATTAACAACCAATAACTAATAACTGACAACAACAAAAATAATCATATCAATAAGAATAAAGATAAGGGCTATAGTCAAAAGAAAAATAAAAATAAACGATTAATAATAATGGTAAATAAAATATAACAGTAATAATAATAGTAATGGCAATAATAATAATAATAATAATAATAATAATAATAATACAATAATAATAATAATAATAATAATAATAATAATAATAATATAATAATAATAATAATAATAATAATAATAATAATAATATAATAATAATAATAATAATAATAATAATAATAATAATAAGCATAATAATAATAATCATAATCATAACATTAGCAATAATCATAATAACAATAATAATAATAAGAGCAATAATAATAAGTAATAATAATAAAAACAAATATGATAATAATAATAATAA